ACAAAACCACTGAGAAAATTGTCCAAGATTTGTTGGAGGAGAACTTCCCTGATATGATCAAAGATGAGAATATACCCATTCAGGAAGTCCAACGAACCCCAAACAGGATAGACCCCAAAAGAAAATCACCAAAACATATCATCATCAAACTCATCAAAACCAAAGACAATGGAAAATCCTGAAAGCTGGATGGGAAAAACAAAAAGTAACTCACAAAGGACAACCAAAAAGAATAAGCTCTGATTTCTCAGCAGATCCATGCAGGCAAGAAGCCAATGGGATGGTATATATAAATCCTTGAAGGAGAAAAATTTCCAACCAAGAATTACATACCCAGCAAAATTGTCCCTCAAATATGATGGAGAAATTAGGAGATTTGCAGATAAGCAGAAATTAAGGGAATTTGTTAAAACCAGACCAACCTTACAAAAGATACTAAAGGAAGTCCTTTGAATAGAGAACCAAAAATAGCAAACAATAACTGACCATTAATACACAAGATGACATAACCCAGAAACAAACACAGCTATGGAAGTATCCAAAGTAAAATAAGCTTACAAGATTGTAAACAGGAACCAGTGACATCAATTGTCAAATGAAGACAACTACAAACCAAAAAGAGGGAGTAGTAGTTACTGTAGTAGTTATAGAATTTCTAAATGGTGAAGAATTCAAGAGTGTTGCCAGACAGAATGGACTGCTCTAAACTCGGGGAGAAAATAATAAATCACAGGGTAACCGCAAAGAAAAATGATAAACATCACATCAAAATAAAAAAGAGGACAAGCACAAATATTCAGCAAATATTAAAACAACAGCAACAAAGGAAATGATAACATGATTCATAAACACAGTGAGCTCAGCACAGAAAATATATGGAACAAAGAAACCAGCGACACCATGAAAAAAGACATAATAAAATAACAGCAAGCAATACTTTTTGATAATTACACAGAATGTTAATGGATTAAATACAACACTCAAGAGAAGGAAAGTTTCAGATTGGATAAGAAAACAAAACCCATCAATATGCTCTCTACAAGAGACACGCATTAAAGACAAAGACAAAAATAGACTAAAAATCAAAGGTTGGAAAAAGATATATCAACTAAATAGCAACCAAAAAAGAGCTTGTTGTTGTTGTTGCTATGTGGTATTGAGTTGGACCCGACTCATAGCAACCCCTCCTTGGGTTGCCGAGGCAGTATCACCACAGAAGTAGATTGCCCAATCTTCCTTCCGAGGAGTGGCTAGTGGGTTTGAACTGCCAGCCTTCCGGTTAGCAGTCTAATGCCTTAGGCACTATGCTACCAGAGCTACAAAAAAGAGCAGGAGTGGAAATATATATTTCTGATCAAATTGACTTTTAAGACAAAAACCACGATACAAGACAAGGAAGGACATTATATAATGATTAAAGGATCAACTGAACAAGAAGATATAA